TTGGAAATGAAAACAAAAAAAATAAATAAAACAAAAAAAAAAAGAGCTGCCACCAAAATCATGCACATCCCAGCGAAAAGTCGAGCTGGAGGGAAGTTTTGAATCTTGATTGCTCGGGCTTCACTTTTGTCGTTACTTTGTTAAAGTTGACTGGAGGCTAAAGAGACCATCTGGCTGAGTTATTGATTCTCAAACAACTCCGCCGAGAGCCTCTAAATCTCAAAAACCTTAAAATTAGACTTTAACAAGAAGAAAAATGCGTGTTTTATATTTTCCAACCCTCCAGCTCCTTGAATTATTGAACACATGCATGGAGGCTGTTGCCTCGTCACCTTCCTACGCTGCAAAGGACAGTTGGGTGGCGATACCTAGACCTCACTGTGTGCAGACTCCAACACCATGTCAGCCTGCAGGTTAATGACTCATCAGCAGGTTTGTTCAGCTCCAGTTATGCACAGCACATGTCAAGTTGGCACAAGTCCGTTGAATTTCAGTAGAAAGCCTTTTGTTAAACCTGAATTTTGCCTGAAACGGATCTTCATTCCTTCGGTTTCTTCAAACCGATTTGAGGAAAATTCACATTAAGCACAAAAGGCACAAGAATGAAACCGACAGTCATATTTAATAAATAACTGAATAAGTGCTTAGATGAGATTTACTGAAAACAACAACCCTTAAGCAGGTATCAGCCAAATTTAAATTAAGTTTATATTTTTGTGTTAATGTCAGTTTAATTAAAAGTCATGGCAAATATAAGAAACAATTATACTTCAATTAACGAGATTCATGTGTGAAAATATAGTTGTAATGAGTTAGAACTGTTTTTAAATAAAAAATAATATTGTATAAAAATAATTTCCTAAACAAATACAACAAAGTTTAGCTTGAGTTTCTTGGAGTTAAGTTTTAGAGAAATATACAGAGAAGATTGTGCTGTTTTCATTTCCATAATGCTTTAAATATAAAAAATGAAGGTAAAAACAACTTATGCTTCCACCTACATTTTTTCAGTCTGCACATTGACAGGAATATAAATATTGTTTATCTATTTCTGTGAGTTGTTTCTTTGTTTCATTTTCCGTTTGTTTTTTCAGCAATGTGTGGTTTTGACTTTTGGATGGAAAGGTTAAAAACGACTAAGATAAATATCTGTTCTTTTCTCATCATGAATTTCATGTGTTCATTAGTGGTAAGCATAAAAAAAATCATAATTAACACAAATACATGTTTGAAAACATCAGCTTGTGTAATAAATCCGTTTAATATGTTTCCTTTTGTGAACAGAGTTACTGGAATAGACAAACTTTGATAAAATATTCAAATTTATTAAATATGACTGTATGAAGGGATTTATTCTGCACCAGCATAAAGACAAAACTGCACTGCCCCAGTCAGTTTGAATCAAAAGCGCTGAACTATGCCGCTTCAGATCATCCAAAGCCATTTTTGAGCTGCTCTGCAATTTGACGGGGCGCCACGCTGGAGCTGAGCCTCTGAACTGTGCATTAGGAGGAGAGGCTGGCTGTTCTCGCTTTAACTTGACAGTGTTACTATGGGAACCGGCAACGTGCTTTTAAGGCTTGTAAGGCACCCTTTGGGAAATTCAGTGCTCCTGGCCATGTAACAGTATAGAACAACACTTGGAGCTTGTTTCCAGCCAGCTTATTACTTCAGAGGGTACAAAAAGACGACCAGGTGCTGTGTGATGTTTAATATTCAGGACAGGTTTCGCAGTGAATGTAATTCCAGATATCAAGGATGGAGCTTTTCTTTTTTCTTTTGTGGAAATAAAAGCAGCCTTCAGACTGTCAGACTGAAAATATGACATGCTGAAACATAAGAAATGATATATTAAAATGACACTAAATCATGCAGATTCAATTGTGAAGGCCACACCCCTTTTTGGGATACTTCCAAAAAGAGGTGTGGCCTAGATTAAAGTTATGTCCCCGAGTGCGTGCCTGTCTTAAACTTGTGAATGTGAGTAAAAATGATTATAATAGCGTTTTATTTGCTAATTTAGGAACTTCGTGTAGCTAAAGTTTATGTAGTAATAACTGCATATCATTGGGTCTGCAGCACATCTGTCCATTTTGGCTCCTGTCTCTTTAAAAGCCACACCATTTGGGTGCAGCCTGATTCTGACAGAGTGCATTTGTTGCTCAGTATTTGTTTGACAACAAGTCATACAAGCCTCTGGCAACAATTATACAAATCTTCCACTGATTTTATAAAGTTAAGGACAACAAGCCTCAACAAGTAGCTCTGAAGAAATGTCTTTTGTTGTTTTGTACTTTGAAGAAACCTAAAGGTTGCAGGAAAAGTGATCCTAATGCATCATTTCATGGTTCCTAATTATGTGCAATTCACTACCTGAGATTATTCATCACAGAAAGTTGCCGCTGTTGTTTCCTCCTGCTAAGAACAAGGAGTGATTTCACAGATTCATTATTCCTTTTGTTTCACCTGCTGCTTAAGAAATCTGCAAGCCTTTAAACGGTTGCAAACCTAAAACACGTTTTTTTTTTTTTTTAAACTAGACAAACTGAAACTGAGCACACTCCAATCATGTACCCACGCATTGTTCACTTTGCTCACACAATAAAAATTATGCAGACAAATGAGGAGAATAAACAAAGACTACTGGGACTGCAGCATTGTGGTTTGTTAATTTAAGCGATCAATGAAAAAAGGAGAAATGGAAAATTACTTTGGTGCATTTGCTTTGTGCAGTTCTTTATGCTAAACACCCGATGCAAGCTGGTCAACGGTGATTTAGAGTTTCTAAAGGTTCTTTAAGAGCTTCTGAGATATATATTATTACACTCTGCAAACAATGTCTCCACATCCGGTGAAAAATGTTTTGTTTTTATTCCTGAGCCTTATTGCTGCAAGAGAAACAAGACATGGAAGGGGAGGATGCAGACGCAAATGCCACTGTAAGGAACAGCTGTTCATTTCACACCAAGCACAGCAATTCCAGAGACACAAGTTAACATGCAAAGCAATGCAAGTTAGAACACGCCAGATTCCCTGAAACCAAGCAGCTTATAGAGAGAGAGAGAGAGAGAAACGTCCTTCCAGTCCAACCAGACCAAAACTGAAACAGTCCCCCAGAGCCACGCACACAGCTGCTACCAATCAGAGGAAGATCCCCTCATCTTTAGGATGTATAGCAGGATCTGGTTTGTAATGGATAGCAGAGGCTTTGTCGGTCTCCTAAGGGTTAGAACCACGAGGAACCACAGAGTCTGTGTGCCTGCAATTATGTGGAAGGGTAGAAAACTGAATCAGTTTTGCTCAGCATTTTGTTTTCCCCCCAGAAGAGACAAAAGAAGCAGAAGAGGCACGAGCAGTTTGAGCAAGTTATGATCAATACAGTGCCCTCACCTAAAACCCCCCAATTTCCTGTGGGTTTATTCTGGGCGCTGATAATAGACCTGTGTTCGTTTGCTCCCCCACGTGTTTGGATGTGTGATGGGAGTTGTTCTAACAAGCTGTGTGGAACTCTGATACTCAGACACCAAGACGCACAGATGATTTGTGACAATCAACTGGTCTGTTCATGTGTGCAGCTGCAATGCCTTGCAGAAGTATTCCTGCGTCTCGATGTTTTTCTCGCCCATTTTGCCACCGCAGACCACAGTGTATTTTGAGGGGATTTCTTTTAATAGATCAACACAAAGTAGTGCGTAATTAAAGAAAACCTGGTTTTCATTTACCGTTGCACAAACAAAAATCTGTTAAGTGTGGCTTGCATTAGTATTTACTCCTTTTAACCCCTCTGCTCCCCAATTAGATTTATATCAAGACTTTGAGTGGGCCATTCTCAGACATTACATGCTTTGATGAATGCTTCTGTTAGTTGTAACAGGAACCTCTGTCCCAGCGTCTGCAGCAGCTTTTCTGCCTTTGTCTCGACCGTTCTTCACATCCCTTCTGACCAACGTTCTGGTCGTTCCCACAGCAAGGCGGCGGCGCCGCCGCCGCCAACGTTTTTCTTGATGTGGGCTGTTCACAGTTATTGGCAGAGCTCGCTCTCTGATACAAATAAGAGTTTTGCATGTGGGCCAAAAAGTTTAACTCTGTTCTTAACCTCACCAGATAACCTTCTTCTACCAGACTTCAAACAGAACTCAAAGGCTATAAATCTGAGATCTGAGGAGTAATAAACTATTGTTCTAATAAAGGTAGCATTAGTTTTCCAAAAACCCTAATTTTGTCACAGAAAAGCTGCATTTTGGCGTCAAATTAATCAAATTAAGGAAGTGTTGTGTTTAAGGCTGGGTCATGCAGTTCGGCCCTCTACTTTAGGTAAAACAAAATGTGATATGGCCCTAAAGTTACAGTCACTCGATACAAAATTTTGTCACATAAAATGATTTTTAATTGTACAGTACAAGCAGATTTGAAAGAAGCAGGATGATTAAAATTAAAATAATAAACTTTATTTTTTGAGTATTTTTGTTGTAGCATTAAGAAAATGTGAGCAAAAAGTGAGGGACTGGCATTGTTAGCTCAGTGATAGAAGGTTAAGAATAATATATTTACTTATGGCTGTTTTTTATTTTGATAATTATAAATTAAATTGTAGAAGTGATGTCATACTTTTTGACAAAAAGAAAGTACCAGTTTGTTTATTTGTCAGCTCAGTTCAATTAATTTATTTAATGAGGAGGAAAAATGTTTGTGCATAATTTGCAGTTTTGCATTGTTACCATTCAGTTTGCCTATATTTTCAGAAATATTAGATTTTTATGCTACTTGAAAACGAAAGTGGACTTCTGATGACCACAGTGGCTCCCAGTTCATTTGAGTTTGGAACCTCTGGTTTAGGTGCATCAGAGTGAATAAAAATGTTTATTTTGAAAACATTTAAGGGGTGTGAATACTTTTGTAAACCACTGAGTGGTTGTCTGATGGATACTGTATTGATCAAGCCATGCCGGAGTTACCGAAGAGACAGAGAGAGCGGAAACGGGAGCCGTGTTTTCTCCTACCGGTGATGTTGACGTCCACGACTCCGGTGCGCGTCCCGATGCCGTTGATGGCGACACAGACGTAGGTTCCGGCCAGGTCGTAGGTCACGGGCCCCTTGAAGAACAGGGTGTTGTTTTTGATCTCCACGTTGCTGGGTAGTGAGCCGTTCAGACTGTCGAAAAGAATAAAGTAAAAAAAAAAAAAGAGGCAATGATGCAGACCACATAAAAAGAGGGAATTACTCCAAGCCACAAAAAGAAACACACAGAGAAAAAAATCTCTTCAAGACGTATAAAAAAAAAGTGGAGTGGTGAACAACCCTGCATGTGGGGGTGAGTTAAATACCAGGAATATTTGACAGCGCTGCATTTCAGATGTCATCCATCAAGTCCTAACAAAATTATGAGGACAGGGAATCCCACCAGGTCCTAACAGGTAAGATATAGCTGATGCTGGAGGACAGGCTGTTCCGGCGTGAGGAATACAAAACAGACAGGAAAGGAAAAGAGGGGGTCTGCTTTCTCATCTGCAGCCCAGCTCACATGGCTGAACTTAAAACTCAAGGGAGCTGTCAGAAGAGGCAGCTGATCAAGCGATAAATACAGACTCTACCAAATGCTGGGCTTTTATTGAAGACTGCCCATTCCTCCTGCCTAAAGGTGTTTGCCTTTATGGTTCACTATCTCTGCTGCGCTCAGACTCGCCCGTGTCCTTTTGATCAGGCCAGCCCACTTTAAGGTCACAGATCATGAGCGCGGGAACCCGTCCACTCTATTATCCGGGCCGACTTTTCACAGCGCCCGCAGGCTCAAAAGAGGTTTCCACTTTCAGGACAATTAGTCGTTTCCCGTCGCCTTCCACCCGATCGGCTCCATCGGCTGCCCTGAATGGACTCGGCTTAAGAAGAGCTACAATTGCGATAGCGCTGAATAGTTCTCCAGCCTGACTGTGGTGACAATGAGGACGGCGGCTGCAAAGATACACTGTCATCGCTCCCGGGTCACAGGGAGAGAGAGAGAGAGACTCCGAGAGGCGCTGCTGTGCGAGGACATTAAAAACAATATGGCGCTCCATTTACTGAAGTGAGAGAAAAACAGGATGAGATTACAGAGAGAAAACAAAATTAGGCCTCATGCTAACAATGGTCACAAATCAGGCACTTGAGCTGTGCTTTCAACGAGGCTCTTAAATGACAGGGGCAGGGAGCGTAATTAACGTATCGCTACAGGAAATATAACAAGATCCAGATCAGGACGGTTTAAAATGAGGCCAAAAACTAATTCCTTCACCTGTTTCATGCTGAAAACTTTAGACACATTCTGACACAACTGTAAAGTTCCCCGTTCTCTGTTTTACCTTCTTAAAAGCTAATTAGTGCAGTTTACTAGAAATATATATATTTTTTATATTTTGTTTGGATGGATGGATGGATGGATGGAGAAACGAAAGGATGTAAGGATAATGGCTAGAAGGACATATGAATGAACCAATAAAAACATGTTGAATGGTTGGACAGCGGGATGGAAAGTTGAGTGGATGGATGAAGAAAAGGATGTATGTATTTATGGGATGATGTGGATGATGGATGGATGGAGGATGATGGATTGGTAAATGGATGGATGGAATATCAATAAAAATGGTTGGACGGATGGATGAATGAAAAGATAGGTGGAAAAATGCATGGATGGATGGATTGAGGAAGAAAGGGACAGAAAGATAGATGGATGGATTGATGGACCAATGAAAATGGCTGGATGGATGAAGAGAGGGATGGATGGATGGATAAACAAGAAGGGGAATAAAACTGGAATACTATAAATACAAAGTTCAGACTTTACCCGATTGTGTGGGACCTTTGTGGTTCGAATGTACTTCTGAGCACAAAGCAATAGAAAAATCTGAGCTTGAGAAGATTTTCCATTGGTCACCTTAGTGAGGCAATTGCAGCGGGACGGCAAACAACCCTCAATACAGTATGTCACGATTCAATAATCAGTTAACTTGTGAACCTCCATCAAATGCTGAGTTCTGCAAAGCTCAATTGATTTGCTGTAGAAATGAAAGGCTTGCAAACTGCGATTCACCACTGGTTCTGCCATGACCAGCAATGCCTGCATGAGTGAATGCATGCGTGTGTGTGCGCGTGCGTGCGTGTGTGTGTGTGTGACTGAGTGTGTGGGCATGAATGGAGCCTGAGGGGCTGCAAAATAAAAGACTAACAAACAGCTTGAGAGCGATACGGATTCTTTGATGACTGGCTGGGCTCCTCATGTATGCAGTGTCTGTGTACAGATGTTGGTGTGAGGAGGCTGCAGCAGCCTCACATCTCTGTGTCAGTACAAACTGCATCATTATTTTAGGAGGAAAAACGGAGGGAAAATGTACTCTGTAATTAAAGGTAGAACTCCTTTACATGGAGCGTTGCCTCGTTCTCTCACAGTATTTGGGCTCCCATCAGTAGGAGTGTCACGGTACACCTAGCTAACGACATGAAACGACACACCGGGTCCTTCAAAGCAAAACGGCAAAAGATTTTGGCGATATTTGTGGGAAGACAAAACCTAATGAAGTCCAGTTGTTTCAGATTTTACACTAGAGAGGATAAAATTCAAACTGTTTGCACTGTTACAAAGCTATAAAGGGGATGCTACGCTTAGCTACGTTAGCAGCTAACAGTTAGGCCATGGGTAATATCCTAACAATGCATATATTTATATCTTCTTTTATTGTTCTACTGAACACCAGAAAACAGTGGGGGGCTTTTTAATCGATAATTTAGCTGGATTTAGCTGATAAACAGTCCTAATTAGATAAATCTGTCAACACAACAAGGCAACTCAAGAGCTACTTCCTTTCTTACTTCAAAATAAAAGTCTCAAACAAAGCAACAACATGGTGCAAGTGTCCATCTCTAAATAGAATCAAAAGAACAAATCCTAACAACTCATCCTTTATCCCTTTGAGTCCTAAGTTTCAAATCTCCACCTGGATATTTTTGATTATTTTAATTGTATGAAGTTCTTTAAATGTCCAGTGAATAAATATATATTGCCCATTTATCCATAACAACTGGAACTTTCAGTATCCAGAAGTTATTTTCGCAATTTACTATTTATCTATTAAGAATTCCCCTCGTATTAATTTCACTTCCTGCTACGGTGGGAGTGAAATTACCGTAATAACCTGATATTGGATGGAAAGCGCAGCATCTCCCCTTTCAGAAACCGTTGTAATTTTTCAGACAGCGCAAAGTGTCGAGGAGTTACGGCTCTGCAAATCTGACTGTGTCACGCTGACACGTTCGGTCTAGACAGGTTAACTTGTGTATAAAACCATCCTAATGATTTTATACACAACAGAAAAATGCAGAAGTTACATAAAAATCTGCTGACTGGAAGTTTATTCTTTAGCTTCGCTCACATTTGTTGTCCTCCTCTCGTGTGAACTCTGGATTAAATAAATGGTAGTCAAATTCAAAAGCAGAATACCAGCCTGTGGAAAAACACAGAGCACTCGTAACATCACTTTGAAAGCTGAATTAGGATTTCTGTTTTCCAACAAAGCGAATCTTAAAAGACGCTAAGAAGTACATATTTTAAATCTGACACGTCCATTAAATCTTTTGATGCAAATCGAGGGACAATTGTGGCATTTGGGTTGCAGTGCTGCTTGTGGTTGTAAAGAGGCCAACTGTGAGGATATCCAAAAAGCAAAAGCATTGAGTTCTTCATCTGAGATTCTGCAAAGTATCAAGGAAAAGCTATAAAAAGCACATATTAATAAGCCAAGTTGAGTCGATCTGCCAAACCTACTGCCACGAGACGAGTTGCAAAATAATCTCAAATGTCTTTGTGGGCAGGAGGAAAGCCAGGGGCCTCAAAATACTGTTCAGAAAGGACAGAAATAAGTGAGGTATTTATTGGGCCTGATAACAATCTGAGGACTTCATGGCATCTGTTGAGAGAAAAGTTTAATCTAACTCAATATCTCTATAGTCTGAACCTAAGTTAAAAAGGTTTACACGGACTTTAAGTGGGAAAAAAAGATGCATTGGTGGGTCACCAAATTCTTCATTCACTTACAACTGCCTAAACAAAGGGATCTTAAAAGCCTTTGTGGCCTCCATGAAAGCAGAACTGGCTGTACTTTTTCAAACAAGCTGAGGTTTGAATATCCCTTTAAAAGACTATTAAGTATCTGTGAATTTCAGCCACTGCTACTGGCGACTGAAGAAATTAACAAACATTGTCTTATTGTGGCCTTTAATCAACATGACTAATAGAATCTCATTTTCAGAACAGAGATAAGCAAGCCAGCTAATTAGAGCAGAGTTTGAAGTAATCACACTGTGAAATGCATTAATAACAAAATACAGATTTCTTGATTCATGCAGGGCTTTGTCTTTGAGAAACCGAAAATGCCTTTAAGGATGCGGCGGGGTTTTCTTGTCTGCTGGAAAATAGCTTTTTAATGAAAGGGGAAGGGAAAAAAAGAGAAAATTATAAAGTCTGAAATCTTATCACACAAGTAATTTAGGTGTAAGTGATAATAATGAACTCTTGAGCCTCATTTTCTCATCTTGTGCCCACTTAGAAAACTAAAGGACGCCGTAAGAAGAAAACATTTTCAAAACAAACGATAAAGTTCAAACAGAACAGATCTTTCCGCCCGCTAACCATTATTCTCAGCTGCAAGAGCTGCGTGTATTTTAAGGTTCAGAAAAAAAATTATGAAGGAAAAAATATCTGCAGATGGTAAAAATAACAACTGCAACTGGGGCAGTAATGAAAGAAACTCAAATCTACAACTGGAAGTCTGGCAAAAACGTGAGTATTTGTAGCAGTGGTAATTAGATTTGGCTACACCTTCTTCCTGTTGGACGCGTTTATGATGCCGTCCTGCTCCATCGTCCCCTCGCAGCCTGGCGCTGACCTCCACAGCCGAGCCCAGGGGAACCTTCACAACAGATTTGGCTTCTCGTTTTCTGTGCGGCAATAGCCGTCCTCTCCGATCCGTCAGCTCTGTGCCCTCGTCTTTCCAGATCACATCTCCTCCTCCTACTCTTCCCTTCCCATCTCCCCTTGCTTCAGATAAATAAAAAAAAATGCATCATCTTGCTTTCTTATTTTGTGCGTACATCTGGGCTTCTTCTCTGAAAGATGTATGAATGCA